TTGTTGCCCTAATTTTTAGGAGCTCACGTGACCAGAGGGAACCAGGGTCTTTGCTGTAGCGCCGTGCGGAAGTAAAAGACCCTGGCTTGCGAGGTTGGATCCTCGCCAGATCGTGACCTTCCCATGACGCAACGAGGGCCTGCGGAGGAGGCAGATTGCGCAACTGAATTGGGGTCTGGATACCACAACTGTGGAGTGTAAGACTGTAAGAGTGTTGTATTTCATTTCAATCTCAATATAGTTTTATAATTTAATATAATATTATATTTTGCTACGTAATACGTATTTCGGTATTAAAATATAGCCAGGGTCTTTGATTTTATATAACTGTATTGGATCTGTACACGCTTATAATGTTTTCATAATGTGACAATTTCAATGGCCTGTGTGACTTTCTTCGTGGTGAAACATGACAACGATGCTGGAACAACTATCTGATGAAGATTCAATCAATGGAGACTCTGCAGATTCGCCAACTACGTCGCGTCGTTCTGGCAAGCCTAAGATGTTTAACATGAATTTTAGAAGACAAACATCAGACGAATATGGCAAAAAGTCGGACGGAAACGAAAGGAGTGACGGCGATACAGTAAAGAGACGTTTATTGTCTGCCTGGAACAATGTAAAATTTGGTAAGAATGTCAATGATCGAATATAGACTACGCTTTTTTTCCTAGAGATATTTCTAGAATTTGCATGTTTATTTATTAATTCTCTTTCAAATTATTTAAATTCGTTTAGTTTAATATTATAATGTGAAAGTTGTGATGTTTGCTTGAATATTTTGTTGCCTCGTATTTATGTTTATCGTGTGCCTGCATGAATTATTCGTGGCAGGCAAGGCAAAAGAATCTCAAAATGGAAGATTGATTGCAAATCTCGCTTCCATATACCTGTATACTTGATTTATAAAGTTAAGAATTTGAACCCTGAATTTGAAATTCGTACCAAAAAACTTTATTCATGTCCCAAAATACTTGCTTTAAAATTGACTCATCGTTCTTGGCTGTTTGTCATGTGTGACGTTCCAAATTCTTTGCTTCCATACCCAACATAAAATAGGCAATATTGCAATAACTGCGAACATATTCAAATTAGTTTACTAACCACATTTTCTGTTTTTTGACGTCTAACATTTTAACAGTGTAACTTTTTGGGGTGACACCCACAACCCACGTCATTCTTCGACTTTCAACCCAACTCCAGAGGCTGATCTAGGATTTTTCGTACCTCAGTCAAAAATTTTTGGCGGACGGGGCGTTGACGAAAAAATACGAAAAACGTATTTAAATTAAATTTAAATTGATAAATTCAAACGAACATTTGATTCTTATCCATTGTAAGAAAAACTACAATTTATGCACAAAGATATATTGATCCTATTTCAATACAAAATTTTATGGATGTTACTATGATATAATATATTAAAACTCAGCAGCAATTTAACATGTTTGCTTGTGGATTAATATGATTGTAAAACTTGTAAAATCATATGGCAGCAAATGCATTAAGGAAATATACTGTTCTGTTACCAGAAACACAGAACTAATAATTGCCAGTAGCCTCAGATCCAAAAAAACAACCAGATATTCATTAACTAAGTCAAACACTATTACATTAACAAGATATAAAGATGTTATTACAAATATTAATTAATAAACTAGTAACATCAGAATGGCTACCAGTCAATGAGCTTTTCAAGCTAGCTTATTAAATATTTCACATCATCAAGGTGTTAGCCAGGCGGCCGTCCGACCGTCCTACGGACGGCCACTTCTGAATTCGGACGGCTAAATTTTAATAGCTGAATTGAAGTATTGACAAACACGCCATGTATTTGTAACCATGTTGATGAATCTCGCATGAAGTATCAAGGAGAATAATTTGAAACTGCTGTTTTAAAAAACAGCAATCGCTTTATCGCTCAAGCACCACATGCTTTAGAGTTATAGTTACGGTAAAGATGGCTATAAAATGAGTCAAACACATAAAAAAAGGGGGAAATGTCGGCGATTGATAAAACATAACTAAACACTACACGGCTGTACTGTGTTCTTCATTATAGCATATACTGTACATCATATTTTGCATCTAAAATGTGACCACGCCCACAAAATTATTTTGGACGGCCACTTTTGAAGTCCTGGCTAACACCCTGCACATCATCATGTTACATTAGACCAATGCGGTCGTCTAACAAGCCATTTCAATAGGCTATGGACAAACAATATTCTATAAGGCTGACATGTTGTGTGATTGATGCATAAATATAAAGAAATCTTAAATAAAACTTCACTATAAACATGAGAATCAACAAATGCTTACAATGTGGACATTGAATATAACATATTTTAGCTTCTTGATGCAAGAATTATGCTTACCTAATACAGCATAGCGAATATTAAAATATCATATGTCAAACAATCATTTGGTACTCCGGTTTAATATAAACTAAAGATACATCACTATAAAACCATAAATTTCTCTACCTTATTGCAGTGGAAGCTTTGTCTTTCTTATCTCGAACATACTTCGGAATGTAGCTCTCTGCGCCAAAATTTCTAGCGAGGCTTGCGTTGTTGTGTTGTTGATGGCTCACTTCGCCGCTCAGTAGCTCGTCAACAGAATTCGTCCGTGAAGCATCGATATTCTTCTCAAGCTTCATATACAAACATTGTCGCGATTCCAAATCGTTTGCCGCAATCACAAACTGAACATTGTCGAAAATGTTTCCAGATATCGCTGGTCAAGATCGCTCGTAAAAATAGTAAAATTTCTCACATGCCAGACGTTCGAAATAGTAAACACTCAGAGGTAAACACCGAATGTCATGTTGACGAATACCCTACGCTGCAGATCCGTTGAAAATATAAGCCAATGACAGTGCAGAATTTTTTTAAAGGCTCATACACAGCCCCTGAATCTGCAAATCCATCAGGCCTCCCCACAGATCCGTCGCAAATGGCCGTAACCATGGAAATGAGCGTGTCAGCCAATCAGATAGCCGTATTCGACCCCCGAATCTGTCAACATTCATACATAAGGCCGCTGTTTGTGACTGACTAACATTACTTTGCTGAAGCTCTGCCGCAGCATGAAACGTATAACTGAACTACGATTCAAAATTTTAATAACTCGATCAACTGGCCGTTATAGACAGCTGGAGTCGAATTTTTTAATTAAGGGGCCACGTCCATATTCATGTTGCCACGCATAACGTCGAATCGACGTTATGGGTGGGTGGGTGGGTTTTACGTCAACTCCTCTACGTTATCTCACTTATCTCGTGGCAATTTGACTATTTACATCTGAACAGACTGAAGTTTAAGTTTGCCGTGCAACTTTTGCCAGTATTGTATTTTGAACTAATAGAGTTCAAAACAAAGGTCGAAGTATTGAAGCAACATTTTTTTGTGTCAAATACCTGTCAATTTGTGTTCGTGAATCGCGACATTTTTCTGCGATAAAACTTCGCATTTTTTATAAGGCAAGTACAATAGTCAATAACTTTGAATTGAAGCCTCAGCATTTTAATGCATTTCTGAGATAAATTGATTGATTATATACCATATTTTATAAGAATAAGCAGTCAAAATACGCCAGGGTATAAACGATCGACGTTATCTGAGGTGGGTGGGTACTGGTGATAACGTCGATTCGACGTTATGCGTGGCAACATGAATATGGACGTGGCCCCTAAGTGAGCAATTTTTACTTCAGTCGCTGATTTGACAATCCCTAGATCCGCCCCTGCCCAACTTGTTCCATCAAAGTGGTATATGCATGTGATGTGCAATTCACAACAAAAATTTCATACTAATACAATTTGGAAAAAAGGTGAAGAAAAATCAGGTGGAATCTAGAAAATTGAAAATCCAAATAATCTTGGGATACCTTAGGGTCAATCCCTTGATGTATGTTATCTAACGTTATCTAGTTTTATGTTATATACCTTAAAATATAGCATGGCATTAAGTTTGACAACTTGTTAGTGTTACACAGTGCGTTAGTGTGTTCAAGTGTCGATTTACTTGATTATTTGCAGAAAATTTTGCAATGTTTTCTTGAGGTCCCAGAAAGTGCAATATTCTTCCACCCCTGATTACTAAAGCCAATATACCATTTCTGATTTTCTGCAGGTTTAACGTCACCAAGTACGACAACATTTGCTGAAGAATATCCAGCCTGGATACTTGGCAAGTGCTACACATTTAGTCCGGATATTGAAGGTAACACAGTGAAACATAGCAATTGTTTGTGGTAATTACTTTAGAGTTTTCCCACGTAATTAGAAAAATCGCTATGGTCAAAGACTTTGCCTAGAAGCGTGGCATATAAATATGAGTCATCATGCTTTGAATAGGGATGACAGCGCCTATTTGCCAGAGGAATATATGCATCTTCTTGGCAGGTGACGTCATCCCTTGGGTATTTAAGAAGCCACGATCGCAGTTTTAGATCACCCCTGATGAAGACACTAGACTGGAGTGTCGAAACGTTGGGTCTTAATTACAATTCGACTGGGCTTTGTAATCATTTATTTAAACCAGAGTAGCGAGCGAAACATGATTGATATACCTGGTTGCAGTGAACGAACAAACTTTATATATCATAACATATAATATATCCTAATACAGTCATTAATTTAACATGAACACCTTTAAAGTGTTGTAAATTAATCGTGCCAGGCAAGATTTTGGAACAACAATAAAATACAGGGGTCATCCTAACTGCCCATTTCGACAGACTGTGAGGCATTGGCAAGACATGGGGTGTATTGGATTGATATTTCTTGAATAGCTAGTGATGTTTAGCAGTTTATGACAATAAACTTGGTCTGTGATATTTTCACATGGCACAAGTATGTTTTAGTCTGGCTATTTTCCCTTGCTATAATATAGTGCACAATGCATGAATATAATCTTGAATGGTCTGTGCCAGTGTAGGTAGTGATGGTGATAAGAAAACTGCAGATTCATAGGGATACAACTGCCTGGAAAATATGTGTACATTAAGGGAAAGTACATTTATTATGCC